CGAACGTATCGTAACGTATTCTCAGATCCTCGGGTCCACCCGAAATCCGGTCGGCATCTGCTCGCGGGTGGACGTCCCCGTGGAAATAGACCGGATTGCGGGTGGATTACGGTAATCATTGGAAATCGACCGATCGCCCGGTTCCCTCGATTTCCACTTGCCGGGGTTTTTTTTTTTCCCCAACCCGGACAGGACCTGAGTTAGGCAAATTTGGAAAACGCCAGCCTGTTCAGAATAAAATGTTATCTCATCGTTGCCCTAGTTTGCTAGTAGGTTAAATTCAAGTTTTTCAGTGTATCTGCAGCGTACCAGGCGGTACTAATAAGCTTTTCCAGCTAGTGCCATGAAGCTGCGCGCAAAGCGTCCTTTAATTGTTGTAAAGTAAGACACGGTTTTTCACTTAAAAATTGCAGTAAAATAATTTAAAAACGGGACAGCCCATTTCCAGATTTTCCCCGGTCCACCCTCACACCCTAAGCCGGTCCTTATCTAAAGCCTCGCCAATATTTGGGCAAATATCGAAAAATCGTCTCATCGGCTGACTGGACCATGCTGCATCGAATTATTCATACCTCCGTTTTTCAGGTGATTTTTGCGGAATTTAATTCTCAAAAAACCATAATCACTCACCCCTCTTTCGTTGCTTCTTCATTATGGAACTTTTTAATAGAAAAAATAATAAAAAAATCAGAAATTTGAGGTCTCTGTCCAGATCAATGCGATTTCCGGGTTGTGATTAAACTTAGAAAAGCACTGGCGCTCGGCCAGACGATTTTATGCCATTTCTTTGTGCAAATATGGGCTCGATGGGGAGACGCCGAATGTTGCCGGAAGAGACGGGTTGTAGTTCATTTTAAAAAAGCTAAATATTTGGGTTAAGTCTTCTGAGGGTTTACAAGTGTGAAAAATAAGCAAACTAGTTTGTAAAATTATTTAACCCGAAACTTCACTCGTCCAATCTAGCTCCAGGATAGCATTCTGCATATCTCTCGCCCCCTCTCTCTTTCTCTTTCTCTCTCTCTCTCTCTCTCTCTCTCTCTGTCTCTCTCTCCCTCTCTCTATCGATCTACCTCGCTCTCTTTCTGGTAAATTTTTAAATTAATTTCGAGCAAAGCTTTGAAATTGGGTTTTCCCTGCTGGTTTTGTCCCAATTTTTTTGCATCTTGACCCACTGCTCGGTATCGACCCCTTTTCGGTATCTGCTCTGTCCCGTTCACGTACCGATATTTTTTGGTGGTTCTTGGTTGCTTTATCTCTTGTCGTAGCTCTTTTGCAAAACCCTTCCCTTTGACCCCGCTTTTGCACAAGCACCAAACATTTATCAAAACAAGCATCTGGCAGATAGACCATATAAAAAATCAGCTTCGCGTTGCTTCGTAAATGCCGATATTTTAAAGATTCCGGCCGGCGAGACAGAGAGAGAGAGAGAGGGAGAGAGAGGGAGAGAGGGGGAGGGAGAGAGAGGGAAAAAGAAAGGAGAAGAGAAAAAAGAAAGGAAGGAGAGAGTGTGAGGGAGGGCGAGAGAGTGAGAGAGAGGGAGGGAGAGCGAGAGAGAGATACGGTAACGCGTTCGCTGTTGGCACCGGAATCATGTAATCAGACAGTTCTCAGGATTCTTTTGTATTATTTATTTTAATATCTAATTTTTTTGATACAAATGGAGCAAGTATTTTTACTATTACTAAAGGCAAAACTTTTCTGGTTAAAAAATACAAATTTAAAGATTTTTCGACCAAAATTTTGGATTTTTTAATGGTTTTTAATATTTTTAGATAGTTTTGCAGTGTTCAAAATGGTCTAATTTCAGAGAAAAACAATATAAAAATACTTTACATTGCTAAAAAAATACTATTTAATTACTAGGCTTTTCTAGAATTATAGGACTAATTCGCGGTTCTTGATAATGCCCCCCCCCGCCGATAATGCGAAAGCTCCGGATTTAAAAATTCAATTTTCCGCTGATTTATTCAATTTAAATTTATTCGAAATTTTGTTCAATGCAATTTCCGATATCGAGGTCGCTTATTGCATAGGTCAGGCTCTTCTCTTCTGGTCCCCCGGAAACTTTGCCTCCATTCTAATTTCACCCTCTAACCCCCCGGGTCGCACTCAGCCCCCCATCAAAAGCCGAATCTCACTCCCCGGCTCTCAAATTGGCATAAAAACCCGGGGGTCCCGCAAAGGATCCACGTCTTTTACCCGCAGCCACAAAAACACAGCGATATGCGTGTGCTCGCGGAAATTACACGCTGAGGGCCCGCGGGGAAGGGCGCTGATAAGCACAAAAAAGGAAAAGGCTGATCCGCCATTCTTACAACCGGCCGTCAGCCCGTATGTGTGTAAGCTGATAAAAATAACAGTGGGAGAACGGAGGAGAACAGCCGACGATTGTAAACAAGACCGGATCCGGGTCACGGAAAAGTGATCTGGATCTGGCTGATGACACCCAGAAGTTCTTTGAAAAAGGTTTCCGTGACCATGCTTTTTACGTCAGAACTCACAAGTGGGCGTTTTTTGAGCGTGAGTTCGTGAGTTTTGACTCGGCACACATTTTGTATAGAATTTTGCCTGGATTCGAAATCTGGTTTCAGAAACTGCTAACAAGGAGCCGCTTTTGAGTGACAGCCCAGTTCCGAGCACGACCAACCCTCCCCTTGTGCAGAATTTTGCGCTCATCCTGAAACGGTTTTTCCAAATTTGTTTAATCGGCATTTTGACGACACTACCGCTCAGTTTAGAGCGAAAATGCGCAAAATCGCAAATTTTAGACTCGCGCAAAAATTCGGGAGAAAATATTTTGCCCAAACTAATTTCTCTTGCCGGAACCGAAGAGCGCATCTTGTGCAAAAAAATGCTCTTTCGAATGATTTAGTTTTTCAAACTAAAAAAAAATCCATTTTCCTCACGATATGGTCCTGCGCAGCACTTTGATGCAGGTTTTATAAAGTTTTGAAGATTTACGTATCTTAAAAATGGAAAAAGTAGTGTAAAAACAAAAAGAGAAGGCGTACGAGACGCGGTACGCAGCGCACGAGGTGACCACGTGTCCTGAGATTCGGGACGTACTCACTAGCTGTTTAGACGAAGACGTAAGGCGACGCCGCTGCTAGGATTGTGACGTCCGCGCGTTCTTGACCAGATCATGAGGCCACCAGACGATCATTATGTCCGTTTTGATGCACTTCAAGTCATGCCTGAAATGTACAAGTTGAGGCAGAAGTCGGAAAATAGCCGACCGAACTCGGATGACGTCACGAACGTGATGACGTCTTCGAGGCGTATTTAAAGAAGTTGGATTGCGGGCTTAATGACGCGCTTTTGAGACACAGCTGGCGGTGAAGATTAAGTAGTGAGCTTGATGAAAAACTAAAAAGTTTCTCGAACTCGTTGAAGATGGCGTAGCTTACGCAATCCGCGTCAGAAGCGATAACGTGAAAAACTCGCTTTGGTTCTAAGTTTCTAGCGCGCCATAGGCGATGGTTTGATGCACCATAAGTAGCGGCTACAGTCTAATCCAAAGTTGAAAATCTAAGTTGAGCCTGACTTAAGCCGAAGCCTGAGCCGACGCTTAGTCTGATGCATAGGCTAACGATAAGCCTAGTAAGCTTAGGCCCAAGCCTGCTCAACGATACTTCGGGATAACGCAGCTTCAAACGCCCTTAATCTCCAGCCTCTCCCCTTCACGCGAACTTTCCGGAATCACGCCGTGTTTGTGTTGGCTTCTGTGATTCTGGGGAGGGCGATGTGACAGCAGGCGATCTTTGCCTACAACCGAAGGGGGGGGGGGTTGTCCCACGTGGAGCCCCCCGGTTGCTCGTGGCCGTAAAGCCATCCCAGATAACTCGAATGTTTCCCCCTGATCGGATGAAGAGATAAGGATGCCGGAATGTTGAACATCCCAGGTGGAATCCCCGGCAGCATCTCTGTTTTCCCGGGAATCTCACAGGACTTTAACCCCAAAAATGGATAGGAGAAGGAGAACTGCTTGAAGAGAAATTTTGAGGAGGAGCCAGCTGGTCGAGGGCTGGATTAAGGCATCAGATTTTGATGGATATGAAGGAGGTGCAGTCCGGTGTATGAGATGAAGCTGAAAACGTAGTAGGTGTTTGAACGTGCAGCGGCTGGGTTGCGATTATCTCTCTCTCTCTCTCTCTCTCTCTCTCTCTCTCTCTCTCGATCGCTCACCCTCTCTCGCTCATTCACTCTCTCTCACTCACTCTCTCTCTGTCACTCACTCTCTCTAACTCGCTCACTCTCTCTCGCTCACCCACTTTCTCTAGCTGGCTCGCTCTCGCTCACTCGCTCTTTCCCTCTCCCTCTCTCTCTTTCGCTCACTCACTCTCTCGCTGACTCACTCTCTCTCTCCCTCTCTCTCGCTCACTCTATCTAGCTCTCTTTCTCTCCCTTCCTCTCTCGCTGACGTTGTCTCTCTCGCTCTCTTTCATCTACCAGAGGAATTCATTGCCCCACCCGCGGACGTTGATGATCATCCACAGCTGCGCCGTCGGGCTGGAGCCGTATACGCGGGTTAAAGGGACAAGCAAGGCACGGGCATGAATTTTTTTGGCGGCGAATACGCGACGCATGGCCCGATTGCCCGACGTCTCTCTCTCTCTCTCTCTCTCTCTCTCTCTCTCTCTCGCTCTCTAACCCAAACATCCACTACTCCAGTCACCAAATCTTTGGCCCGACCAATGGTCCGATGACACCCCCCTATAACGACTCCCGGATTCCCCTCCCCAATGGCCCATTAATCGAGCCGCCGTTAAAATTTTACGCAGCAGCATCAGAATCAGGAGCACCGCAGCCGAGCAAAGGGGGCGGGATCACATGACCGAGCGTGCTTGCTCGGCCCGGCTGCCTCGCTCGCTTACGCACCGTATCCTCAACTCCCCCCCAAGAAAAAGAGAGGCGTACTACTGATAAGCCGCGCGCATAAATAGGGCCCGTGGCTGGGGCTCAGGTACTCCAGTCGTCGTCACAGCTGAAGCCACACCGCCATGACCGTACGCCACCACCGGCACCACCACCATGGCCATCATCTGACCGTCAAGCAGATCAGTCAGTTTTTGAATCGGGGGCAATGCTATGCATATTCTGATTTTTGGTGATTTGTTAAGAGCCTACAGTAAGCTACGCAATGCCAAAACCTAAGCTTGACCCAAGCTAGGCTAAGCTAGCCGGCAAGTCGGTTTTCGTGACTGCAGCATTTTGCGTTCATCCCGAATTTAGCCTTAAAATCTGCGATATGATCAGATAAACACATTAAGCAGCTTCTAAGCGCGTAAAAAGGCCAAAAATGGCCCAATTTCGACAAATTTTTTCGCGCTGAGCGGCTCCCTGACCTTTTGAATCTGGCCGTGTCGCGGGGGTTTGACAGTTTCCAAAGTTTCCGAATCAGCGCAAATTTCTGCACAAAGTAGCCTCGGTCAGGCGTCGAAAATCGATTATCACCAAAGAAATCTACTTGTAAGCTTAAGCCTAAGTGAAACAAAGCTAAGCTAAGCCCAAGCTAGCAAGACAAAGCTAAACCCGAATTCTTCTCTAACCTAAACTCTAAAATAGGCCAGCCCTCCTGAATTTTTTTCTTGAATTTGCTTATTTTTGAAACGTAAAAAAATTAAAAAATAAAGGCATTTTAACGCGGTTGTTAAGGTATTCTAGTCCATGGAAATAAAAACTAGTGCGTAGGAAAGCTAGGAAAACTAGGAGCAAAAGTTCCACAAAATTACAGTGATACCATGCCGGTTCCTTTAAAGCCTTGAAATACATTTCGGTGACTCTGGAATGTTTTATACTTTTTGATAGTCCAGAATCATACAAAACGGCTTTCCTAAGCTTCCCATTTTCAGAGAAACTCTTCGCTAACCACGACAGCAACAGCAGCGGCCGTATCTCCAAGGATGAGGCCAAGGTACGAATTTTCAGCTTCAAAATCTTCAAAAAAGTTTTCAACAGCCATAAAAATTAAAAAACAAATCAAAGAAATATGATTGTCTATTTCCAGGCTGCCCTGAAAGAGGTCGGACCCCACCACCATCGCCACCACAAAAAGGACTTTGAGCACGAGTTCGACAAGCTGGCCAAGCGCCACTCCAAGCACGACCATCATCATATCACCTTCTCGGGTAAGTCAAGTACGCTTAGGCTTAGCTTAGGCTTGCTTAGGCTTGGCTTAGGCTTAGCTTAGGTTTAGCTTAGGCTCAGCTAAGTTTTAGCTTAGGCTTCACTTAGGCTTAGCTTAGGGTTAGCTTAGGGTTAGCTTAGGCTTAACTTAGGCGTAGCTTAGGCTTGGTTTAGGCTTAGCTTAGGCTTAGCTTATGCTTAGCTTAGGCTTAGGCTTAGCTTAGGCTTAGCTTAGGCTTAGCTTAGGCTTAGTTAGGCTTAGCTTAGGCTTAGTTAGGCTTAGCTTAGGCTTAGCTTTAGCTTAGCTTAGGCTTAGCTTAGGCTTAGCTTAGCCTTAGTTTAAGCTTAACTTAAGTTTATCTTAGACTTAGACTTAAGATTGGCTTAGCATAAGCCGCTTTGGAAATTCCCAGAATCTTTAAGCTAAACTAGGAGTTGTTCATTCCCTTGAAGCAGCTCAACCCCACTCTTTTCAGACTTCCTCCACTTTGTCCACCCAGCCGAGGGACTCCACGGCCACCATGGTCATCACCACAAAGCCGCCAACTCTGGGTAAGTCCCTAGTCAACCAAAAAAACTTCTAATTTTTTAGCTCGAGCTCGTCCTCCTCATCGTCCTCGTCGTCTTCCTCCTCCTCTTCCAGCTCCTCATCCTCGAGCAGCTCTGAGTCGGAGCCGGAGCACAAGCACAAGAAGCATCACAAGAAGCACGTCAAGGCCGTAGCGTCCAGCAGCTCTTCCTCGTCGTCCTCGTCGAGCTCTTCCTCCTCCAGCTCCTCCAGCTCGGAGTCGGAGGTCGAGGAGAAGCCGCGCAAGAAGCACGTCAAGAAGCGCCGTGACCGCAAGGCCGCCAGCTCATCCTCCTCTTCCTCGTCTTCTTCTTCTTCCTCCTCCAGCTCCTCCTCGTCGAGCAGCTCGGAATCCGAAGAAGAGAAGCACCACAAGAAACACCATAAGAAACACGTCAAGGCCGCCGAGTCCAGCTCGTCCTCCTCGTCCCGCTCCTCGTCTTCTAGCTCGTCCTCCTCGAGCTCGGAATCGGAGGTAGAACACAAGCACAAGAAGAAGCACCACAAAAAACACGCCAAGGCCGCCAAGGAGTCGAGCTCGTCTTCATCATCCTCGTCATCCTCCTCCAGCTCCTCATCCTCGAGCAGCTCGGAGTCGGAGCCGGAGCACAAGCATAAGAAGCATCACAAGAAGCACGTCAAGGCCGCCGCCTCCAGCTCGTCCTCCTCGTCTTCGTCGAGCTCTTCCTCCTCCAGCTCGGAGTCAGAGGATGACCACAAGCACAAGAAACACCACAAGAAGCACGCCAAGGCCGCCAAGGACTCGAGCTCGTCCTCGTCCTCCTCGTCGAGCTCTTCGTCTTCGTCGTCGTCCTCTTCGTCGAGCTCGGATTCGGAGCCGGAGCACAAGCACAAGAAGCATCACAAGAAGCACGTCAAGGCCGCCAAATCTGATTCGAGCTCCTCTTCTTCCTCGTCCAGCTCCTCGTCTTCTAGCTCCTCGTCCTCCAGCTCCGAGTCGGAGGTTGAGCACCACCACAAGAAGAAGCATCACAAGAAGCATGTGAAGGCCCATCATGGACATCACCATCACCCACACCATGGACATCACGGACACGGATATGGACACCATCACGGACATCATCATCCTCACCACGGACATCATGCTCATGGATATGGACATCACCACGATGGTCACCACCATCATCCTCACCATGGACATCATGGACACCATGAGCTGCACCATGGACATCATCATCACCCACATCACCATCATGGACACCACGATCATGGGTATGGACATCATCACGATCATCACCAACATGCCCCGCATCACCACCATGATCATGATCATGGCTATGGACATCACCACGGACATCATCATCCTCATCATGGTCATCACGGACACCATGAGCTCCACCATGGACACCACCACGGTCATCACGATCATGGCTACGGACATCACCACGGACATCATGATGGCCACCACCACGGACACCATGGACATCACGATCTTCACCATGGACACCATCACCATGATCACGGATATGGTCATCACCACGGCCACCATCATCCCCATCATGGTCACCATGGCCACCATGACCTTCATCATGGACATCATCACCATCACGACCACGGATATGGACATCACCACGGACACCATGATGGTCACCACCACGGACATCATGGCCACCACGAGCTCCACCATGGACATCACCATGGCCATCACCATCCACACCATCATGAGCACCATGGTCATCATGAGCATGGCTATGGACATCATCACGGACATCACCATCATCCTCACCATGGTCACCACGGACACCATGAGCTCCATCATGGCCACCATGGTCACCACGGACATCATGATCTGCATCATGGACATCACCATGGGCATCACCATCCTCACCACCATGAGCACCATGGACACCACGACCACGGATACGGCCATCATCACGGACATGGTCACCACGGTCATCATGAGCTGCACCATGGCCACCACCACGGCCATCACGATGGTCATCACCATGGACATCATGGCCATCACGGTCACCATGATCTCCATCATGGCCACCATGGTCATCACGATGGTCATCACCACGGCCATCATCACGGACATCACGATCATGGCTACGGACACCACCACGGACACCATGACCATCACGGACACCACGACCACGGATATCATGGACATCATCACCATGATGGTCACCACCACGGACACCACGACCACGGCTACGGACACCACCACGGACATCACCACCACCCCCACCACCACAGCCACCACCACTCCCACGGCCATCATTAAGGATCCGCTGTACAAACCTGTATACCACCACTTCTCACGTTTTTCAGGACCTGCAGCTGTGCTTTTAGGTCGACCGATTCTATGCAGTGATAGTGTGAATAAAGTTTTATATCCTCTGAATCGCATAAAAAATACAATATACAAAGCACCGGTACTCGTGGCATCATGGCATCGAAATGGGGGGCACAAATTGGGGGGAATCTTGGTCCGGGGTAGAATCGAGAAGGAGGACAAGAGGTGTCGTGAGCAAGAATTGAGATTCGAGAAGCATTATAGAGCGAAGAGACAGAGTGTGAAAAGGATTGGGAGTAGGTAGATGCTCAGCGCCCTCAGCGAGCTCGAGCTGATGAAGGGGGAGTTCATGGCGCCGAGGCGAAGTGAGCGGGCTTCACTTCTTGGGCCGAGTCCGCCAGAGTTATAGCCGGCCACCTGGGATAGAAAAACGGGTATTTTTCTTTCTCTTGCGCTCTCTCGCTCTTTCTCTTACGGGCTCTCTCTCGCTCCCTCTGTCTCTCCGTCTCTCTCGCTCTCGCGCTCTCTCTCTGTCTCTCTCGTTCGCTCACGCTCTCTCTCGCGCGCTCTCTCTCTCTTCTCTGTCTCTCTCTATTTCTCCCTCTCCTCACCTGCACAGTATATTTATACATCAACCGCAACCCATCCAGCCGTGCCGAAGGTTGTTGCGGATCAACCAGCGCCCTCAACGGCATATCGAGCACCACCGCATCGGACGCCGTCTCCGAGATGTACACAAAAATCTAGAACCAGATCCGTGACCCTTTTCTGGACATGATCACCCACTTTATATCCTAAGTCGTTGATCTCGCTGGCATTGCCGAGCTCGACGGCGCTCCACTCGATGATTGTCGTAAAATGACCGTCCGGCATGGCGGCGAGGCCAAGGCGTCCAATTTCAGGTGCGGCAGGGGTGGAAGGTTTTGCTGTTCGGATGGCTTCGGTCTCGGTGCGAGAGCCTTGGCGTCCGCTTGGATCGACTGGGATCAGGGCACATCTGTATATCGTCGACGGATGTAAGCCTCCAACTACCCAGCGCGTCAACGACGCCGAGACGGTCAGGGGACCGACATGGTGTTCTGATGAGAAGCACTCGATCTGGAAGGATTTCGTAGTGTAAAGATTGAGTGTGATGTCTAGATTGAGCGTGTAGAAAGCCTAAGCCTAACCTAAACCCAAGCCTAAGCCTAAGCCTAAGTCAAAACCTAAGGTTAAGCCCAAGCCCAAGCCCCATTACTCATATACCCACCTGAACCGCAAATGCCACATCACAGTCCGACGCGCCGTGCCACGTCCACGACACGTTCGCGTGGGTAGCATTTATCGCACTGATGCTGGAGATGTTCACGTGCCGCATCGATCCCCGCGAATTCACGAAGGCCACCGCGTCCGTGGAAATATCTGCCGGGCCCGCGTCGTTCACCGCGCGGACTTCGAGCACGACGGCCCGGCAGCCGGCTGTCGAGTTGAGCCTGACCAGAACCGCCGGATGGTCCGACTCGAGCTCGTACTTTTTCGACCCGTCATCGTCGTCTTTTTTTGGGCTCTCCGCAGGTTCTTCGGACCATGTGACGACGTAGCGGAGATGTTCACCAGAGGGATGGTCCTGGAAGGATTTGTTAGGAATCAAAGGCCTAAATTACCTTTTCGACAGCGTCCCACTCGACAAAGAGGGTGCTTTGGTCGAGGGCCTTCCAAGACAAGCTCTGCGGTGCTTCCAGGGGTGGTTGTGGTGGGGTGTGGACCCAATCTGATGGGGCTGACGCGTCACCGGCTTGTCCGCTGGCCACGGATCGGACTCGGAACTGAAAGAGGTGTTTTCAAGGGTTCGGGAAGCCCAAAAAAATCTATTCACCGTTGCCTTGTTATCGACAGCTACGCAGCGCTCCAAATTACGTATGCAAACGCTCAATGGAGCGTGAGAGTAAGCGTGAGAAAGGAGACGAAAGCGTCGCAGAGAGAGAGAGAGAGAGAGAGAGAGAGAGAGAGAGAGATATCGGAAATCAGAACACATTTCTCATACCTGATATCCCTCATTCGGCTTCAACCCATCAATCGTCGTCCTATCCGTGGCCTTGTCGACGGGGCTGATCATCGACCGGCTGACGGGCTTCCACCTTCGATCCGTCTTCGACCGCACTTCCACCAAAAACGCCTCATCCGGTTGCTAAAACCTTGCTAACACTCTTGATCATCCATTCCCTACCGAGTTGTGCCTCGTCTCCCGATGATGCGGTGGCAACACCCAGTAGAGATCGACGCCAAACCGGGAGATGTTCACGGCGTTTACCTGTGGTATTAATTAGTCGCAATTTTATAAGGTATTTACTAGAGATGTTTTTATTCAGATACGATATGCATCCAGATATATCGCATCTGAATAAGCCATCGGAATTGAAAAATTCTAGATGCGATATAGATAATCGCATCTGAATTGGATTCCGACCCACTGAGATACGATACTATCGGAATAACGTTTGCATATCGGATTAAAGGGGCTCCGAAATCTGGTCCACGGCCCCCGGCTGTGATTCCTGGCAAATAGCCAGAGGCGGCCGCAACGCGACCGCGCCGCATAAACATTTGCCTCTGTTTGGACGCGAAAACGTTTGAATTTCAAAATGCTGATACTATTTTTGGAATCCTCAACAAATTTTGATCATTCCAGACTTTTAAATTATGAAAATTGATCAGAGAATCACCGAGATCGAGAGATTGGGTGCCTTACAAGGCATTACGACATGTAATCGCCGCGCGCTCCAAAGGTCGTTTTTGCCCCAAGAAGAATTCGATTTTTCTCAAACATTTTACGTGTTCTCGCAATCAAATCACGTTTTTAGCACTTGCCAGCAGTGACCCTTTTGTTTTTTAACCCGTAGGTTCAATCCTCGCCGCACGAATTTTGACTTCTGAGCCCCTTTAAGGGAAATTAGAGCGCTCGGTAGGCGAAAAAATGGATGCAAATCGAATGATCTTGTCTCGGAAACGCGTAACCTTATGCATTTTTATGAAGCCTGACCGTACGGGGCAAGTATTCACGGGAATGACGGATTTTCTGCTCATTGCGATATGCAAATGTTATTCCGATATATCGTATCTGGGTTGAGCCTCGCCGATCCCAGATGCGCTAATCGTATCTCGATTGCCCCGGCTTGAACCTAGATACGATATGCAAACTGCCTTAAATGCAAAATTTCCCATATCGTATCTGAATAAAAACATCTCTAGTATTTACTACAAATTAAAAACGATTGGAAGTAGTGATACCTTTAATGGAGCTGCTGGTGACGCTTTAGCAATCGAGATGCCGTCCGGCTCGCCAAAGATTGAGCGGCAAAAAGCGGGCTTTCGTAGGGCTTCTTCGCCATATTCCACCTCACAGGAAACACCTTTCCCTGGGCTCTCCACGGTCGATCCGTTTCGAGCTCGGATTTCTTGCTTTTCTGAATGGGCAGTGGTTGATTGAGCTAAGGGATAGGCTTAGGCATTCTCTCTTTTTCTCTCTCCCGCTCTCTCCCTCTCTCTCTCTGTCTCTCTCTCTCTCTCTCGCCTTTGAATCACCCTTCAAATGGCTACGCTTAAGCTTAAGGTTGAAGTCGGGTTTAGTCTACAGTAAGCATTTTTGTCAGCATCGAGTTTTATCCGGCTTCGTGAGCTTATGTCAGATTTCGGCTTAGGTTTAGGCTTGGCTTAGTTTGGCCTTTCCTCCTCTGACTGAACAACCTACCGTTGACGATCAGCGTCACCGCGGCGTGCGACTTCCCGTGGTGGTTTCGTGCCACGCAAAAGAAAAGCCCGGCATCGTCTAGATGTAGATAATAGTTTAATTTTGAACGAAGTTTAATGGCCAACAAGATTGGGATCGTTCCACGGGTCCCCAGTCCCTTTAAAGCACGAATTTTCAGACCTACCCGAGACAACATCCTCGATCACCAACAGTCCATTCTGATCCCGAACTCTGCCCTTCCCCGGCAGCACATTTCCGCCACCATCCGACCAAAAGGCCGTCCCCATCGGGGAGGCTCGGTAGACGCAGGGTAGACTCTAAAAAGGATAGGTTTTCCGAGAGTTCTTTCATTATTACAAAACATCTACTTAAAATGGGTACTGACCAAAGTGCTGCCCCTCGTGGCGAAGACCTTCGACGGCATGGCCATGGGAGGGAATTCTGGTGCCGCGTCCATTACCGTCACTAGGGCTGAGCTGACGGTGGAGCCCATCTCAAAGTGAAATTTTGATTAGAACGTCATGAAGCCGTACAGTCATTAAGTATTTTTCTCTTCCTCTCCGTCTCTCTCCGACTCTCTCCGTCTCTCTCCGTCTCTCCCTCTCACTCTCTCTCTCGCTCTCTCTCTGTTATCTGCTCCTGTATCACATCCTCTTAGATTTGAGCTGAACTGCTTGAACGCGTGCTTCACCCGCCATTTGCCCAAAACATCTACATACCTCGTTCCCGACGATGCACTCATAGACCCCAGTGTCGTTGGGCGTCGTGTTGCGCACGTTCAGGCTGAAATTGTGGTAATCTCTCTTCCCCCTCTATCCATCTCTCTCTCTCGCTCTCTCTCACTCTCTCTCTCCCTTACACATTATGATCAACGACGAAGCGCTTCCGGTCCTTGGCGGGCATCAGCAGCGGTACCAACGGCCGAGCGTCCCGAAACCATTCCACCTAACAACATCATCGTCAAGTTCAACTTCTTGCCACCCACCTGCGAGCTAAAGTCCGACGTCGGCAAGGTGCACTCCAGGCTCCACTCCGAGCCTATTGACACCAGCCTATCAGCGAGCGGAAGGAGTACGGTGGGTGCGCCGGAGAGCAGCAACGTCACCTCCCCAGCGACGACCCCCTTCACGTTGGCCGCCGTGCATTTGTATCTAGAATTCAATTATAATCCCCGGGGGTTGCTGAACTGCTAGAAAACGTCGCCCCAACAACCAACCTGGTCTGATCACCCGGTTGCACATTCTCAATTTTCAGCACCCGATCGAAGTTCATCGCCGTGGCACGGTCGGGCAGTGGTTTCCCATCGACCCTGGTCCAACGGTACGTCGGCACCGGGCTAAACAACACCAGATATACCGACTCTAAAAAATGTCTTACTTTCCGTACGCAAAGCACTCCAGGTATACGGTATCGCCGGTGGCTGGGCGGTCAGGGAAATATTGGGGGTGCCCTGCTTCGAGTCCGGGGGCGAAGGCTTCCCTGAAAAAGTGGTGATGACAAAGAGAAATGGCTTGATTTCTAAATTCAGATTTTTCTTGTTCCTTAAGGCTAAAATCAGGTGAAATATGATACCTTGCCGGTGAGGCGAGGACCGCGGGGGGTATCCGTAGCCGGAAGAATGGGCCGTAGTGACCGGACGAGGTTGAAGCCAGTGAAAGGGAACAGGCGTAGCTGAAATCCGTGATTAGAAGGTGTAGTTTGTAAAATCGCGGGGGCAGCGAGCAAAGAGCATTGAGGAACCGGTATCTCTCTCTCGCTCCTTCTCTGTCTTTCTTTTTCCTGCTATCTCTATATATCTGTCTCTCTCTCTCTCTCTATCTAGCCTCTGTCTCTCTCGCTCTCTCTTACTTCGCTTTTTCACGTCCTTTCACGGTTCTTTTCTTTCTCTCGCCAAGTTACTCTCGCTCTCTCTATCGCTCTCTCCCTCTCTTTTTTCGCTCTCTCTCACTCTCTTTCACTTTCCCACTCTCACTCTCTATCTCCCTCCCTCTCGCCTCTCTCTCCCTCTCTCTTTCTCTCGCCCCTGTTCACTCGGTCTCTCTCGTTCGTTCCTCTCTCAACCCACCACGCGCGAAGCTCACCCTCCCTTAAAACCCAAAATCCTCCTCCCCACCTCTCATCATCATCGGCAAGTACATGGGAGAAGAGCAGTGTTCCGTCCAGAGACACAAACACCCTCTCATCCTGTTTCCTCAACCGTTCCGTACTCCCTCCAACGTACCATGCGTAGGTCAGCGATTCTGAATTGGGGCCGGGGTGTGCTTTCGAGGGGGAAAATGGGCAAGCATGCGGGCTGCGTGGATGTGTATTGTGTCGGAAAATCGGGGCAGCCGCGGGGGACTGATTGAACAGAGTGGTGATGCGTAGTTTTTGTGCTCGTAAAAGCGGATAGGGTATAGGAAAGTATAATAAATTAAAATTAAAAGTTAAAAATGATAAAAACAGCTTTTTGCGAGTGGTTGATCGGTCTCGATCTCTCTCTCTGTCTCTCTCTCTCTCTCTTTCTCTGTCTCTCTCTCTCTCACTCTCTCTTTCTCTCAACCAAACCCAACTTTTGCTGTGCCAATTTTTGCGGGAGCTTTAACTAAACGACAACTTACTTCCCGCCACCCGGCCGGTACCTACAGTAAGCCAATCGACTATTTTTCGCTTTTAAACCCATTTTTTGTGAGTTTTCTGTAGAATTTGCAATTTTGTGTCATATCCAGGGTTTAAATTTGTCAAATTTTCAAAGTATAGTAGCCAGTTTTTTGGTGCATTTGCATGCAAGTTCGAATTTGACGGGTTCGAATTTCTGTCTCTCTCTCGCGCTCTCTCTCTCTCTCGCTCTCTCCCTCTTTCTCTTTCGCTCTGTCTCCGCCTGCCAATTCCTTTACTTAAATCAATTTTCCTAGATCCTCAATTCTTAAATCCAGGCGTGTGTACGTTCTACTAGGGAAAGACGGCAAAATGCCGACAGCCAAAATACCAGCAGCCAAAATGCCGACAGTCAAGATCGTTACATCCAAAATCCCGACAGGCAAAATTACTTCATGAAGGGTGGTGCCATTCGAACTAGCGTCAAGGAATGTCGGGATTTTGCTGTCGGTATTTCGGCTGTCGGCATTCTAACCGTCGACATTACAGCTTCTACCACGCCCACTACGCAAATTCAAGCCGTGCAAATTCGTGTGTTTCGGCATAATTGCATTCCAGGGTGGCGGTGTGTGCTTGCATTCAACAATTCTAGCCGGTGCAACTCGGGAGGGCAGTGACTGGTTGGCAAAGAAAATGGCTTTATTGCGGAAAATCATTCGGTGAAAAAAAATCGAGCGGTGTGTATTGGCGTGGAACGTAGTGTTTTCGGAGAAGCCGATAGAGCAATCAAAAACGCGTAAAAAATGGGGGGTGGACGGACAGGTGCAATTGCGGGGCTGTACGGTGCTTTGGGTGCCAACTGGTGGAGTGCGTATGGTGCGTCGGTGCGAGTGGGGGTGAGGTTGGTGCGATTTTTGGTGGGGGTGCGAGTGGGGGTGAGTGATATGGTGCGTTTTGTATATGCAAAGCGCGAGGAGTGCAAGAGAGAGAGAACGAGAGAGAGAGAGAGAGAGAGAGAGAGAGAGAACGAGAGCGAGATCGAGAGATCGAGAAAGCTGTGGGAGAGATCGAGAGCGAGAGAGAGAGAGAGAGTTAGAGCGCGAGAGAGATAACGAGATAGTGAGAGAGAGAGAGAGAGAGAGAGAGACAGAGAGGAAGAGAGTGATTCTTGTGTTAGTATAACCAAAAAATTACAATTCCAAAAAATCACGGCACAGTGTGCAGCTCAAGCAAAGCGCGCCGTGCGGCGCGTCGCGTGTCCGAGCGCAAGCTAAGAAAAATTAGGATCGAAATAGCAATCCGGCGGCAAGACTTTTGCCTTCTTGGGTGAAGCCGGGTGAAGGATACTAAAAAAGTGCCCCCCCCCCGCCCGCTTAATGCCAGCCGATCGGATCGGGATATAAAAAGGCGGGCAGCGGGGGGATCGGGTTCGGTTTTTGGAACGAAACGGAAAATCGTGTGGAGTGGGGTGGACGGGCAGGGGGAACGAACGGCTCGGACAGCTCGGACAGCGAAAACAACCCAAGATGAAGCGGGGATCTACCCCCTTGGGGGAATGATATGCATAAGCAAAAGTGACAGGAGGCGGTCAGGTGGAAAAGTGGGGAGGGGGGGGGGGGGGGAGGCGTACGGATGCGGAACGTCGCGTAGTCAACTGAAAATATGGCGACACGGTAATCGGATTGATTACATTGAATTTCTATGAGAATTTCAGCATGATTTGCGAAACTACAAGCTAAAAAAATAATGCAAAATCTCAAAAATGACATTTACATTCCTGGGAAATGTACTTTGGGCAAAAATTTCGCCGGATTTTACGATGCGACGCGTTTTGGGGCGATCGGAAGCCGTTCGGGAAAGATAAGGGTTTGAAAAGGGCTTTGCCCTTGTCTAGTTTTCGCTCTCCCTCACTCTCTCTCTTTCTATCTCTCGCTCTCTCTCAGTTTCTCTCTCTTCCTCACTTTCTCTCTCTCTATCTCTCTCGCTCTCTCTCTCTCTCTCGCTCTTCTTAAACAGATCCATCTCATTCCACACCCTCACAAAAACTCCATGTTAGTAAAACACAAATCGGGAGGGTGTACTGCATACAAAATCGTGTCCATTTTGGTGTATTGTGCGAGTGGTGGGCAAATTGGCTGCGGGGGCCGGATGCGGAAACGGACAGTGTGCAGAGGAGCGTGGCGTAGTGTAGTGGAATCCACGCATCGGGTGGGGGTGTCAAATTATAGGAATGGCGCGGAATCACGGCATTGGAGTGGTGGGGGGTGATAAGGGTTGCCTGAAATCACGCTCGTGTTCGAATGGTACTATGAAGGGCGAAAGAGAGGGAGAGAGGGAGAGAGCGAATGAGAGAGAGAGCGCGCTGTGAAGACATGAGAGAGAGAGAGTGGGGAGAGAGAAACTGGGAGAGAGACACAGAGAGAGAGAGTGAGAGAGGGCGAGAGAGTGAACGAGCGAGAGGGCGAGAGAGAGTGAATGAGAGACGCAGAGAAACAGAGAGCGAGAGAGTGAGAGGGAGTAAGAGAGCGAGAGAAAGCGACACATTCCTATCGAGATATACAGAGAGACACTCAGAGAGAGCGCGCTAGAGAGCGAGCGGACGAGGGAGAGAGAGAAGGAGAGAGAGAGAGAGAGAGAGAAGGAGAGAGAGAGGGAGGGAGAGAAAGAGAGGGCGAGAGAGACAGTGAGAAAAACGAAAATATTATTCAAAAAAAACCAATAAATTCCGGGCCGCCGTTTGACTATTTGCTTGGAATGGGGGGGCCAAAATGAAAGGCGCCGACCGCGGGGATGAAGCCGCTATATTCGGGTGGTGCATGTGTGCATTTGGATGTGTCGACAGACCCGGGGGGCGGCCCACCCACTATTGAATTGAAATGAGGCGGGGATGGTCAAACAGGCCAAAGCCCCCCGATCCCGATACATCCAAACATATTTGCCCCCGGCTTCGATTTCCGGGCTTGATCCAGCTAGATGTGGGCTCAAATTTAGGAAATTGCGTAATTAGGACTCCAGGACCGCCAAATATCGGTTCTTTTGCGTTATCGGGGGGGGGGGGGGGGGGAATGCGGAAGCTTATCAGGACAAAACCAAATTCGAATTTCTCAAACTCTGGAGTTCTTAAAGTGGTTTTTCCAACCAAATCTAGCTGGATTTTTCTCGAGAGAGCTAGAGAGCGAAAGAGTGGGTGCGAGAGAAAGGGAGCGAGAGATAAAAAACCTAAAACTACCGTATTGTTCTTACAAAATGAGGAAGAAAAGTGGCCTCCAAATTAATCTCCAAGTTACGTTTGGCTACAAATTCCAAAAAGTACGCGGCAACAGTGAAATAACGAGGCTTAACCTCATCCCCTGGGGGAACAAACAACACATCAAAAATCATCGCCCAATTTGCCCCATCAATCAACGCGAACAGTTGGTTGGCTGAGCTGGTCTAAAAGAGTCAGTGGCGTGTGGGGGCGGAAACACGAAAAGCTGAGGAGTTGAAGGGCTTAACAGGCTGAAAGAGATCCCGAAAGACACCTTGAAACGTGCCCCAGGTCAGGAAAAATGCGGGCAGAACTTTGGAATGCCGCATTAATACCGACATCGGAATGTCAAATGTCAAAAAATGTCAAAAAGGGTCCTTAGAATACATGTGATAATGCCAAATTTTCATCAGGTCTAACAAAAGCGAAATTTACATATTGCGCGTGAAATTCGGCATTTTTCGGTGTATCTAAACGTCGGTATTTTCCAATGATGCGTTGTCGGGATTCTGAAATTCGGTGTCGTGAAAATTTGGTTTTCGACTTTTTGGGATCATTGAAACTCGGAATTATAAAATTTGAATATTAGAAGTTCAGTTGTATCGAATTCTGCATTTTTTTAAATTAAAAATTAAAGCAGCATGGAAATCTAATCAAAATATAGGTTGAAAAACTTGAAAAATCCCAAATTCCAGAATTCCGAAAATTCCACATTACGTATGCCGGCATTATGCGGATAAGCCAAGCTTGGCCCCAGCTTTCCGGACAAAATTCCCACAACTCGATGGCGATCATAAATTATCGACGCGTGGGGAAAAGCCAAGCCGGGGCCTACAGACAGTTTTCGCTACGGAACCCCTGGCGATCACAGAGAGATAGATTAACAACATGATAAGGTGTGTGCCGCCACCAGATTGTGCAGAGGAGCCGCCCGTACGCCCCGAGAAGCTCCGCCCATTTCCTGACACTGCCCTTGAACTGTTTTTGGTGGCGGGCTGCAAAAATGCGGGGCGTTCGCGGATGCTGGGGTGTGGGACTGGAACCGGGCGGAATGAACCGGGTTTAGAGTTTGATGCGGGATTTCGGCGTTTTAAATATATGAAAAATTAAGAAAAACTAGCCTAGAAAATTTGAGATTTCTAAAGTAATCTTAGGTACTTTTCCATCATCGGAGGGGGGTCCCCCTTGATCTAGAAGTGGCTTGTAAGATAATAGCAAATATTTTAACAGTGTGTTTAGCAAAAGTTAACCATATTTTATTAGAAAAACTATCTAAAAATTCGAAAAACTTTTTGAAAACTGGAATTTGTTCGATCTTTTGTCGAAAAATTCGCATTTTTTTGTATCTTTTAAGATGAATTTGTATGCAGTTTTTACGTTCAGCAACAGCAAAAAATGCTTTAAAAAATGTAACTA